ATTAAATAATAATGTAAATATAAATATTAAGTACAGTTTAACTACTAAATGTTAACCGAATAACTAAAGCCTAAATGCCTGCCTAAGACATTGACAAAGTCTTCCTCACATTTTATTGTCTGTTAATCTCTCCTAACGTAAAAGCACAAAAACATCATTTTAATGATTTCTTATTCAAAATTCATAATGATCTGAATGGTACGTTGTATTTTGACACACCAAATTTCTGGCATATTTTCGAAATGCCTTTTGGCTAATTTCGAGCCTTCTTCAATTTGTTATTTGTTAAGAAATTCCGATGCGAATTCGTCAACATTCTTAAAGCACTGGAGAAAACGCACGACATCACATGGTAAACGTTGCTCAGCGTCGTAATTAAGTAGCAGCTGCTGTAGCTGTAGCTATAGCTGTAGACTTACCTGGTCTAGACTTAGACAAAGCGAAATACAAAATACAATATGTATAGGCAAAAACCTAACTGTATATGCAGACAGGCACGAAAAAAGAAATGTGAAGTGGCAGACGATATATGGGCTCATGTGCGAGTCATTAGAAGCTCATTGAATATTGCGACATCACGCCTCAAAATCAGCAATCATTAATTGCACGTTCTTCACTCTGTCAATGTGTTTGTCCCACACACACACGCACACACACACATATGTGTGCACACGCGCATAAAAATACAAATGTAGCGACAAACTAAACGAAATACTCCAAATATAAATGTATCTTCCACTTAACTGGCCGTTGGCAACGGCGATGGCGACGTCAGGTCACGCAAAGTCTACGACACCTTGCCATCGAATTTAGCGAGAGAGAGGGAGTGAGAGAGAATGATAGAGAATGAGCAAGCGCGAAGAAAAAGGAGGAAGAGAGTGGCAACGTGGAGCTTCAGTGCATTGTCAGTGACTCAATCTGAGGATACCCTAAAACCCATGGAAAATGCTCAAGGGTGGAGTGGTTTTCCGACAATTTATGTAACAAGCTGCGGAAGAAGAAGAAGGCAAATGCGTAGTCATAAAATATATAAGCATAGCTCAAGGGGATATACTAAATTGAGTTAGCTAGGCCTAAGACATTTTACTATGGCCTTGTAAAAATAATAATAAAAAAATCAACTTAGTTATAAAGACAACAAGAAAAACGCCCATATATGATCTTTAAATTATTCTGGTCTATAATAAACCAACTTGGAGAAAACCAATAAATACGATCTTTAAATTAATATGGCTTCATACAAAATACAATTTTTATTGCGGAGCAAACGCTAATGCACTCCGAAAAAGTTCTTGACTTTCAGAAACATATCAATTGTCTGTTTATAATAATAATAAAGATAGTAGTAATGTTAAAAAAAAAAGATAATAATTAGGATTATAATAATAATAACGATAA